CCCTTCGGACAAAACTCTTTCAAGAGAAAAATAGGAAAAGATGTCTGACAAACATGGCCTGGTAACAAAGCTCCAAACTATTGAGGGCGCTGTTCAGAGTTGTGGCCTGGCTCACTGGAACAATGTCAATCCGAAATTTGAGGTGAATCACTGGTGCCCTGTTTTATGCAGTGTGTGCAACTGTACAGGTAATTATGCGCATGCCCAGCTGGTAACATGGGATACTATTGTTCACTTTTTCCCGACAAAATCGTAAAGAATGTCCCTTTCCTTTGCCGTTTATGGTCCACAGATGCAGACAGGGTCGGTGGCATTACAAACGAAGGTTATTGTCTTTGCGTTTAAGCCAAAACTGGGTTTGGTCAAAAATGAGAACCATGACAATAAAAAGGGGTGCCCTTTGACAAGAAGAGTGACGACAGGTCCATGGACTTGGGTCAGATTTGGGGGTGACAATTTCTTCTTCCTGTCACGCTGCATTGAATGTAACTGATGATGTAAATGGCAAAGCAGAAAGTGCGGAGAGAAACATCGTTATTCTGAGGAGGTTGGCCCAGACTTTCTCGTGAAAACTAACTGGGTTTGTTGAAAGGCTGATATTGCTGCAGTTTCCATCAACTTTGTATTTGTTAACTTAAGGCTTAAGGCTTAACTGACGTGATGGTTGTGGAACTTACGAAGATGTTATTTGCACTGGGAGTGATTATCATCGCTGCTGGTAAGTACGCCTTTGATCACACGTATTAATTTTGGGCAAATCGAACAGGTTGACGTCTTCTATTCCAAGCGTACTCTCACGTGCTGCGTACATGGATTTAAGACTTTTCCTCATGGCTGTAAGTGGCGTTTACCATTCCTGTTATGTGCCCAGAACTACAAACTCGTGATACCGATGGAGCTAACAATATGGTTTTGTTTTGTTTCATTCTGAAAAAAATCTGGGTAGAGGAATTTGGCACCACCTTGCTTTACTGTTGCTGGTATAGGATTCTGCAAAAACGCTGTGGACGCTGTAGGTCGCAAACCTGTATAAAAAAGGCAGAGAGATGGAGTTATAGTTTTAGTGGTGGGACGAAAGCCCCAAATGAATATCCTGGGTGAAACCTACAATCCTGGCTAAATCCCGTTGGGCCCTGGCCCCCTCTCAATGTTAGGTGTCGATGCGCGACCTGCGCTCCAGCTCGAGATGACAACATTGAGCGGGGATTGGGGGACCTGGGGAGGGTAACTACACGTGTATGTCAATTGATATGTGTCCCGATAATTTTGGTCAGGATTCTAGAACACCATCATTCTGATCTATGGTGTGGAATGGGGATCAAGACTCTGAGAATACAGCGCTCGGGAACTGATGTTATGCTGATTAGAATTATCTCGATTTCCACGCCCTGATTTTATCTTGAGCACTCGTACTTATATCACCTATCAAATTATTAATAAAATAACGGATGGGCTAACATTAGAAATATCTGCCTATTCGACGTCAATTAAGTCATTGTTTATTTCGTTATGACGTGACAGCTTTTATCTTTACACTGACTTTGAGGGTTAAGCCTTGACCTTGGTCTTAATGTTTGTGAAATGGCATATGACGTAATCATATGATACGCCTATATAAAAAGTGTGAATATTCACTGACAACCCAAATTCCATCTTCATCTGATTTACATCTTGACACTCTGAATTTGCAAGTTTTTATCGAAAGGATAGCTGCAATCATTCATTGCTTTTTTGCAATTTCATGCTAACGAGTATATCCATATTTATGACGCAACTGTGACGTTATCCCGGGAAGAAAGCCTCACTGTAACACTGAACGTAAAAAAGTGACTGATGAGAAAATGCAAGTATTACTACGAAGAACAAGGTGATGTATTCACATCTACATATCTCACATCTGAAAATACGACAACTTAAGGTCTACAACATTGAAAATGAATTATAATATGATTGATATGATGACAGGAAAAGTACTTATCTAACCACATCTTTACAAAGTAGAAATTAGCTGTAAAGAGGTTCTCTTTACTGGACAATGTGTCTGAAGAGCTATAGGCCTACACCACGCATCAGATCTACCACAAAACACATTGTTATTTAGCAGAACTATTGGGTTCCTGATTCGGCTGTCATTTTATGCTTGTATAGGAAACGAGAGAAAATGCCCCCTCCCCGGCAAAAATGGCTTGTCATTCACACCAAACTACGACAGAGTTTGGATATGCAGACTGGTGTACTGACGTTGCCCAGGGGTCTTGCCCATACTGATGCGCGTTTATTTAAAAATAGTAAAGAGAAGCTGTTGGGGAGAACATTTAATGTTGATGACCATTGTGCGTGTGCGAATGTGTATTTTTGCTACGTGATGCACTGTTGTAACGTTAAATCGCTTAGTCTTTACACAGCAACATTCCATGCAATAAGGTTAATGATTATGGTATCACCTTAATATGAACAGCTACAAACAAGATCTCTGAAATGGCCGAGTGGTTAAGCTCGCGGTCATCAGATCGTTAGGGAGTGGGTTCGAATCCCCCTCGTGCCGGGCTTTTTATTTTTCCAACACTTGCTGTCAGTCAGTAGCTATAAGAGACTCTAATTCACCCC